CCTGCTGGGCACCTGGGCACAGGGTCTCCCCCTCCCACCCCCTAGAGTAGCCCTTGAAGACCTCTTGTTGTCACCCACCGCCACCCCGGGTCTCGGTTCCAAGGCCCCATCCCCATATAGGGCCTTCGGTGTATGAATAGAGAAAAGATGTAAAGGTGGATTTCGAGAGCCACTAACATTTTGTGTGTGCTTCATTTTCAGTTTGTTTTATTGCGACCACAGTTGTGATTGAACTATTCTGATTTAGCCCCAATTCGAGGCCAACTCGCCTTTGTCTCTCCTGACTCTGACCCCCAGTAGGTAGTTTCTCCTCCCGTGATGAATGAATGAACCAGTGACTCATTGCAACATGAATGAGAGGTGTTCGCGGGGTAAAGGTGTTTCCTTCTAGGGTTGAAAATCTGGTCCCTTCCCGGGGTTGGCCACTTGCTGGTCGTGAGACTATGAGGCCAAGAACCAGCCTGTCCCCAGCTCTCCATTCCCAGTAACATGTTCTTTCTGAAGCAGAAGGACACAAGCCTCGTCTCCCTGGGTGGCAGTCCTCCCCCCTCATGCTTTGGGGACACTGCACTGCCCCTTCTGCTTACATGTCCCTGAGCTTACAGGCTGGTGCCCAATGAGTAACGCAGTGTTCCCTGTGGTTTCAGATTCCTGCCACCTGTCTTTGCATCGTGGAAATGGGTGTGGCGTTCATCCACGTTCCTCTGTTGTCACCATGGCTCCCGGCCAGTCTGCTGGGGAAAGCCTTGCAAGTCATCATCCAGGAGATGCTGGAGGAAGGTGAGAAAGTCCGAGCTCAAAGCCCGGTTAGCAGAAAACTCAGCCTCGGTGATTCCAGTCAAAGAGAACCAATGGGGCGATGGCTCCTTTAGAGAAAATTAAATGTTTCAGCCCTGTGTAGAGAGGTCAGCTGTGCTTTGAGAGGCTTTTGAAAAAGCGCTTGTAAAATAGTTTACACAGAGGAAAAAAATGTCTACGTTGGCCCAATGAAATCACCAAGAGTTATTTTATTGTCAGAAGACAGGAGAATACTCTGAAAGGCAGACATTCCACAAGGGATTAACTAGCTTCAGTTATGGTTTTCGTGACAATAAAATGAAATCCTAGTAATGTATTTTTTTCCTCTTAAAAGACTATGCAGCAGGCCTGTGTGATCCTGTCGAGTGCTGGGACCTCAGGCCTGTTCTCATGTGGTGGGTTGATCCATGACCAGCTGACCATAGGAGACACACAGCTTAGGTGTCCCATTCCTGGCCTCGATAGGCAGCTTCTGAGCCACTGAGTCACTAGTATTTGGTTTTTCTTTCTCTTTCATTACTTTGTTTTTTTAAGTTGTGGTAAAAAAAAAAAAGGTAACATGAAATTTACCATTTTCATCATTCTTAAGTGTTCAGTGGCATTGTGTACTTCCACTTGTGCAAGCATCACCACCATCCATTTCTAGAACTTTCTCATCCCAAATTAAAACTCTATACCTTTTGAACAATACCTCCCCCTTCCCCACTCCTTAGCAACTGTTATTCTGCCTTCCGTCTCTGAAGGCATCTACTCTAGGGACCTCATACAAGTGGAATCACAGTATTTGTCCTTTTGTGACTGGCTCATTTTACTCAGCATGATGTCCTCAAGGTTCATGTATCATGCATCAGAATGCCTTTCCTTTTTGAGGCTGAATAATATTTCATTGTCCGTATAGACAATATCTGCTTATCTGTTCATCTTTTAATGGATACTGGGTTGCTCCCACTTTTTGGTTATTGTAAATAATCCCGTGAACACTGGCGTGCAAATATCTGTTCGAGTCCCTGCTTTTAGTTCTTTTTGTGTATATATACCTAAAAGTGGAGTTGCCGGATCATAAGGTTGAATTTCTTGAGGACCTGCCATAAACCACAGCTTCCAGGGCTGAGCCTTGGGTCGGGCATGTCTGCTTGTTTGCTCATCTATAAAGCGCAGTAATAAAATCCTTCCTTTGCAGAGTAACTGCAGCGAGAATGGATGTGAACGTCGGTCGGTGATGAGAAAATGCTATCAAACCATGCACCTTCCCGACGGTGGGCTCAGAAGGGAACCAAAAATTCGCCACCCTGTAGTTGTCTTTTAGGATGTTGACTTTAAGCTGTTTATTAAGAAACAAGGCTCAGAAAGAACCTTCAAGCATCCCCCCTGTGACCCCCGCCTTCTTTTCCTGCCCTAGAGACCGGGACAGAGAAACCTGTTTTTTAATTAGGAAAGAACCTGGACTTTGCCAGCTTGAGTCTTCGCCTGAGCGTGGCTGAGGAAGACTCCCAGCCTGAGAGCTGGATACTCTGTGTCCCATTGCTTCCAAGTTCCTAGCAAGAATGTCCCTGCCACGTATGTTCTCTTCCTTGGCTACCTGCAACTAGCCCATTGTAACTTCTGAAATCTCATACCCCGCCCCCTCCCCCTTGTCTCCCTTGTTCAGAAATGTCATATACACCCAGTGTCGCTTCATTGTCTTTGGGATTTTCATGCTTATGTGAATCCCCCGTGCACATGAATTAACATTTTGATTTTTCTCCTGTTGATCTCTGTTAATTTGATTATCAGCCCAACTCGAGGGACTTAGAAGGTATTAGGAAGAGTATTAATTTTTTTTAGCCCGCATGGCTCGTAGCTGGACCCTGCTGGATTTGTGGTCTTAAGAAGTGGCTCGGCGGGGAGAGGTGCTAACACTCCCGAAGATCCAGCACCTTCATCCTCGGAAGAAATCGCTGCTCCTTCCGAGGACAAATGCAGGACACAACTTGCTAACCTGGAGGCGCAGCACTGAGCCACCCGGGAATAGGGACAGCCACGCTGGACTTGTGTCCACACCACCAGCAGCCCAGACAGCTGTCAGGGCCTCGGCGCCTTGGCAACGAACGACCCTGCCTTTAAGTCATCGGTCTTCCAGTGACAGTCCCCTGAGGGCCAGGTACTCCGTGATCAGGGCCTTGGTGCCTTGGAAACGACCCTGCCTTTAAGCCATCGGTCATCCAGTGACAGTCCCCTGAGGGCCAGGTACTCCGTGACAATGGGGAACAAACCCCCTGAGGCTTCAGAGTCAGTCCCCTCTTCTAGAAAGGCCTTTTGCTTTAGGCTCAGACACTTGTGAGACGCAACAGGTCGTAAGTAAACTAGCCCTGGATTTACATCTGCCGCCTGCACCTCGCTGGGAGCCTCTAGGAATTCTCCGTGATCAGAGTTCAGTGAACAGTCAGCTAGGATTAGATCAGCGTCTCTGATCTAATCCTAGAACATCCACGCTGGGAACAGTCAGCTCTCCTCCTGATGCGTCCCAGCGTCTCTGATCTAATCCTAGAACATCCACGCTGGTCTCCTCTGGACATGTGTTCACATTTCCCGCCATGACCATTCCCCCGGCAAAGACGATGCCGCCGCCTAGATGGCAGAACCCCCCAAGCAGGCCGAGGGCGTCAGCCTGACACGAACTGACACGTTTGAGCACGTGCTACATGTGCTCGCCCAGTTCTCACTGCCCCTCCGACGAGGCACGCGGGCTGTGAGGTACCAGCCAGGACATGGAAATGCACAGTTCACGTCCTTTGCCCAGAGTCACCCAGCTCACACCTGCCTGGGCCTGACTTTCGTCAGTGGAAGGCATAGGAAAAGTCTACCAGTCAGTCAAAACGGAAGTACAGATTTCTGTGTTTTAGGTATTCCGATTTTCTAGTAGCTGATTTAATGGAGTGAGAAAACAGAATCGTTTGTCTTCAGCAGTTTGCATGCTGAGAAGTTTCAGCTGTCAGAAATAAAGCGAAGCCTTCACACACAACACCTCCGAATGACATGTGTGAACACACATGCCACACGTAGCTCAGCTTCCCTGCCTCAGAGGCACGGTGATTCTTCCAGAAGGAAAGGGGGGAGTGGGACAAATTCAGAGACCAAAAATGCATACAGAATTCTTTTATTTAACTTAAACCATGTAGTACTTTAACTACTAGAAAAAAGCAGAGTAAGAGAAACTAAAGTTGCCTTAGCTTCAGCCATTCAAAATAGACAAAGTTCCTTTTTCATAATGTAAAGAATCCAGAGTATATCGCAATAATAGGAATAAATTCTTAACAACAGAATATACAAAAACATTTTGAAATTTTTTTTCATCTACTGATTTTTTTTTTATATAAACAGAGGAATTTTTTTTAGGAATAATTTATGCACAGAAAGTCATTTTATGTAACAAATTGGCCATGTTATTACCTTTTTTAAACTTTTTTTTAAAAAACTTTTTTTAAACAAGAAAACTCAGAAAATGCATTATTTGCGATGCATCCATTCCATCGCTCCTTCTGTTTATTTTTTTTTGTTATTTTGTTTTTTTTGTGTTTTTTTGTTTTTTTGTTTTTGTCCCAGAGGTAGACAAACTCTGGCAAACTTCTCACCTCAACCTCATTGGCTTAGAAAGCAGACAGGCGTTTTTGCCGAGCATCCGTTCCACCTGCGGATGTGTCTACGCAACACCAAACATCCGAATCCAAAGTTAAACACGGAAAACCACCCGTTTCTGGACCTTTCTCCCGTGTGGCGCAAAACGCCCAGATATTTCCAATGCTGGGGGGGTTTGTGGAGTTGTGTAGACATGGCCCCAAATCCATTGGGAGCTAGAGAAAACAGAGTCAAACAAACCAAAAAAATAAACTTTGCGTGTGTAGTTTTTGTTAAAAAGAACTTGTTTCGTTTTGGAAAAACGTATCTTCGGTGTTCTGCCTTAAAAAGGAATAAGGTCTCTCCCTCGTTATAACAGAGCATCAGTCAAGACGTGAGGCGTGTAAGCAAACAGCCTGCGTGCACCAGACTTACCATCTTCCGTGTGATAGTCTGTGTGCTGTGGTCGCTGTAACCACCACCGGCTGTGCGGTCGGTCCCAGCGTCCCTCGGCATTGCGTTTACGATGGTAAGAACCGAACCCATCAAACCAGATGCTGGAGCGTGCCCCAGGCACCGCTGGGCTGCCACGGCTCTGCCGTTTCCTTAGCCAATGAGTTTCTTTTCGTCTGTTAAAAGTAAAGTAAAAGCTACACTCCAGAGGAGAATGACCGGGAAAAGGCGATCCCTTTCCCAGCCAGACGGTTCTGGAAGACCAAGATACTGAAGATACAGAACTACTACTTCTTAAATCATCATTATTCCTTTGTTATAAACTAGGGCACAAAGCAAAGGGGCAAAGAGGGTGAAGCATGGCTTGGGTCGGGGGAAATATTCTTTTTTGGCATATTGTAAAGCTAGCTAGTAAACAAGTGTCCTAAAAAAAAAATAATGGATCACAAACACACATTTGCACACAGAGAATAAAAGTGCCCTCAAATTATTTTCGGCGATTATAAACTACAAACGTTTTATAAAATTATTCTATGTCCTTACAAAAATGTGATGAAACATTTAATTAGTTCTTGTAAACCAGATCTTCGTCAACTGTCTACCCGTAAGCTACTGGACTTAAGAGCCCTATTGAAAACGCTAACGTGTGACTGATTAAAAAAAAAAAACAATGTTTACTGGAAAGGTGTGGACACACATAAATGTGAACATACAGATAAATGATCGTTATATTCTTGCATAAACAAAATAAAACAAAAACCCTAAAATCATGCCCCAGAACTGACCACCGACAGGTGCGATGCAGTTCGTGTTTTTACACAATTTGACTTAATTCCGCCACGACGGGTTCCAAAATAGGGTGCTAGGTTTATCTGTTGAAAGCAAACGCCCCACAGATGACTGTCGAGCCTCGATGTGTTCTGACACCTTCAGAAACCATCAAGGTCAGAACGCGGCCCACAGTGCTTCCCAGCCCCGTACCCTTCTTCACGTCACGTCACAACCCGTCACAATGGCTTCCTCCCGTGCGGTCATTCCGCCATCAAGGAGTGTTCATCTGCTTTTTCTCTCAATGACCAACTAGTCATCTGAGCCGGAGGCCGAAAATGGAACCCTCTGGCCTGTCCAAGGTCTGTATCTTCAGCATCTCTGGCAACAGAGAGGTTCAATCTAAAAGACATCCTTTCGTGAAGTTCTCATTTGTACCACCAACTATGTCAGAGAAAGTTTGACTCTCGTCACTGGTTTTCAGCAAGTGGATCTCTGGTCCATATCTCTCAATGCCGCTTAGCCCAGGAAATGAAAAGACAGCCGACAAACACAAAAGGAACGTCAACGAAAGAACAAACCCCAAACCTTAAACGCGTTAACGGGGACGGCTGGAATGGGCCAAGGCACAGCACGGAGCGTTACTGTCAACTGGAAGGTGTTTACGTTTTGGAAAGGAGTCGACCCAACAGTGACAGCCGAGGACCTTGGACCGAGCATCCTAGCCTTCTCACCCATCTGCGCTAGGGTGGCCTTGCCACAGCAGCGGCCCGTGTGATGTACAGCCACCTGCCAGCAGAGGTCGGCTGCTGAGAAAGAGGCTTCGGTGGAACAAACTGGGCTAGAATTTGGCGTCGTGCTTGGCTTGGAAATCATTTATCCCAAGCAAAACGTCACTTCCAGCCAAGCACGTTGCCACTGGGTATTTCCACAATTAGCCACTTTTCCCACCATTGAAATGTTGTCCCGAGTCACAACAAACAGGCTGGAGGGAGAGGCCAGTGTTGGCCGTGAACCCAGCCTTTTATCTTCCAAGGAGGGCACGCGTCCCAACCGCGTGCCAAACATCACGACATCCCATATAGGAGACCTGGGTGGCCTGGGTCTCACCCAGCTTGAAGTTCAACGTCTCCAGATTACACCAGCTCCCGCTGCCTCAGAGAAGGGCTGTGTGTGTTCATGTTCTAATGCTCACATCGACGCCACGATGTGCCTCAGTGGTTCATGTCACTTCAAGCAGTGCGAGCTGCTGTCAGAGGAGGTTACATGGAAAATGCCACAACTCAGCTTGATTAAATAATTGGGAGCATACGAAAGAGGGGGGAGAAAAAAATCAAGAAGAGGTGGGGAGATCAGCATAAAATCAGGCTAGAACCGTGGAAAGTTGATGCCTTGGTACAGTCACGGCGGGTGATGCTCTGGTCCAATAAACCAACCGCACCGTCACACAAGCAAACTTCCTTTAAGTGTTTCTGAAGCGTTTGTTACGATGGGCACGACACTGCTCGTGTTTGCTTTCTACCTAAAGAAAAACCACCTACGTGAAAACGAAACAACAGAACGACACCAACAACTCGGACAGTGGAAACGGAACCCTTATGACCAGCTGAATGCTCTAGAAATCCAGTTGTGGAAACCGGGAGGGAAGAGCGAAAGAGAGAGAGGAGGCCACTGTCCCACGGGGTCCCCTCGAGTGTGCGAGAAGAAAACCCTGATCCAGCGGTGTTTCTCAATGACCTTAAGACGCCCGGGGAATCGGGCACAGAGAGTGGAGTTCTCGGGGCAGGTTGAGGGGTGAGTGCTGGAACGTTCTGAGGAGCCGTCCACACCTGGCAAAGTCCCACACGTTCCCAGGTCAAATCGCCAGTGCCTGTGAGAGCAGCTTCTGGAATCAGAGACCACGCCGTCCACCCCTGTGAGCAGCAGGACGGCGGGACAGAGGCACGGCCCTGGTGGGAGGGGTGGCACCCCAGGAGGAGGCTTGGCGCTGACCACTGCCCCTTCCAGCCCGGAGGTTTGGTACCTGTTTGTTTTCCCCTGGGGGAGGAGGAAGTGAGGGTGAGGTTGAGAGAACAGCCGGGGGGAGGGAGAAAGGGCTTTTCTCTGTGGTACATTCTGGAAGGATTGGCTGGGAGGGCAGAAGCCTCTGCATTTAGCAGCAGGAGGCCTGGAGGACCCAGCTCGCAGACCCAGCTCGCTGAGGCGGCCGCATTCTCGAGTGAAAGCGTCACAGTGACAGCACGTCCCTGCCTGGCACAGGCCGAGCGTGAGGCCGCAAGGGCAGCGCCCCAAGGCCACACGCCGCGCCTTTGCAGGTGGCGTCCCAGCAGAGACCTCCCGTCCCTCGCCGCCTCCTGCCCTCGAAACCCGGGGATCTGTCCTCATTCAATCTGCGCAAAGCAGCTGGTTTCAGAGACAACCTGCGGGGACAGCCAAGGGGCCTCCCGCCGAGTGCTCTGGCTCCCCTCAGCTCCCAGCGGAGAGCGGGGGTCCTGGGCCAGGACGGGGAGAACCCCGAGCCTCACGACCTCTGAGGGAACGAGTTAGGAGAAGAACAGAGGCGACGTCACACGCGACATCGCAGAGAAAGGCGAGCCGTTCGGAAGGAGTGGACAGGTGAGAAAGCGTCGCTCTGACCCCGGGACAAGCCTGGCCTGTCCCCGCGTCACCTGGTGTGTGTGGCCTGTGGTGTGGATGAGGTTACCGGTTATCAACGGCATATTGTCAGATGCTGAGAAATGTGAGATGTATTCCTTTTTGTATATACACATATAAAAAATAAAGAGTGAGGTAGATAAATGCTTGAAAAAAAAAAAGAAAAAAAACTGTCCTGTCTTACACACAGACACACAGACACAGACCCTTTTCTCGGTATTTCAATTCGTCATGGGGCTTCTCTACAATGATCGAAATTGGAATCAGAAAATAAAACTCCTAGACATACTACCTTCTTAATTAACTCGTTTCTTTTTCTCATTTTTGTTTTGAAGGGAAAAACTATGGGACAGAGGCTAGAGAAAACCATGGGACTGGAACGAGTGACAAGAACCTCCAGTCACGACTAGCGATCACGTACTGGAGCTTTGTTCTTACTCGTGATTTAAACATTTCCATCCCAGAAGCGACTCTGGTGCTATCATCACTCTGGTGACAAGCGCTAAAAACTAAACAAAACAAGAGTCCCAGGCCCCGGGGACTTGAATTTCTGGCCACAGAGGAGAGTGCCTGCGCCAGGGCCCCGGTCTCTGGGAGTGGGCCACGGCGGGGCCGGCGGACCCCGCGGTGGGCTCGCTGACATCCCAGGATGCTGGCCTGCGCCCCAACCCCTGCCTGCGCTGAGGAGGCCCCTGGAGGGCTCGCTAGTTCTAAGGACAGGGGGGTCGGTCTGCACGGTGGTGGCAGAAGGCCACAGAGGGGCCCGCTGGACCACACTCCACGACACTCTTGGCCTCAGCAGCTGTTTTCGTGGGAGGGAGGGATTAGCCACTTAAAAAACAAATAGTGATCCGAATGCCTAGTGTGTGCAGTTCGAACTGCTGTTGTACTGAAGGATTAAAAAGCAGATGCACGTGTGTCACAACCGAAACGCAGGCAAGGGGGAGAGATGCTGAGAGACCGCGGGTGAGGCCTGTCCACAGCGGCGGGCGCGGGGGACAGCGGACCTCCCTTCCTGACTTGAGTTTGCATGTCGTCGCGTCGCACTGTGGCTGACTCAGACGCCGTGCCCACTGAGCCTCGGGGTAGAACGTCTAACAGGGCCGGGGGCCGGGGGCCAGGGAGGGGAGGACGTATTTATAAAAAGGCATCCAACAGTTCATGGCAGAGTATGCTAGATAAAGATCAACGACTAGGGACAGAGAGGGAGAAAGTCACGCACGCTAGTACGAAGCATAAGAAGTTTCTTGGAGTGAGCAGAGGGAAGGGTAGACCTGAAGGCTTTCATAGAGTAAATCCACGAAGATAAAGAACAAAAAAAAATAGCAGCTTTTTTTTTTTTTTCTGTACAGACGTATAGATGAATATCTGAACCGTAAAAAAGTTATAAAAGTGACGTTAAAGACGATGTGTATGCAAATGTTTCATGGTCGAACATAGAACTGTAAGAGCCACGAAGAAGTCCTAGTAACAGAGAAAATGTCAGCAGAGCTCAGAATGCTTGAATCCGTTTACTGCTTTTCTTCTTACTGTCGTTGTGGTGTTTGAATTTCTTTCCTTGCAAACCTGCACAAACAGCTGGGCTGAGGCCCCGGGGGGAGCGGGGAAGGACAGGAGACTGGCTCGTGGATGACCTGTGCTCAAAGCCTGTCTGCCAGGCTCTGGACAGGGCCCGGGGGCCCGAAGGTGGGGGTGGGGCAGTGGGGCAGGGGAGCCAGCTCAGCTTCCCCCCATCTTCTCTGGACATCTCATTCCGTCCAGGCCCCCCGCCCCCCGCATACCCTAGTCGAAAGCAAACTGAGCTGTGTGAACGCGAGACTTGAAAAGAACACGAGGGGCTGAGCGGGTGCGGGATGGGGCGCATCGCCAGCGGGGGTCTCGCGGGAGCGACCCGGACCACGCTCGCCCCCCACCCCGCTGCCGGGAACAAGAAAACGGGCAGGGTCGCGAGGGAGAAAGCTCCGGGTTTGGGCGGAATTTGGCAGCGTAACAATGGTGAGCTGGGACGAATGATGGATGGCCCTTTTTAAGTTTCGTGTGTCCCTAAAAAAGTTAAAGACGGTTAAAAAATGCCATCTCTGCGTGTGTTTTATAAAGACCTACGGTGACAGGCAGGCGCGTACAGGGGCCAGGGGGAGGGAGAACCATTTGCTCAGTCTGATTTGAAAAGGGCGTCTCGGCTGGGCTTGTGGCAAATGTTTTTCCATTATGAAGCAGAGAGAGAGAGAGAGAGAGAGAGAGAGAGACAGAGAGAGAGAGAGAAGGGGAGAGAGAGAGAGAGAGAGAGAGAGAGAGACGGGAAGAGTGAGGAGACTCGATTCTCAGGTGTCCTGTTGCTTGCTATTCAGGATCGTCATTAAGTTTCTTAAAGGCCCACATCAGTTAAGGGTTCAGGTAGGAAAATAAAAAGCTGCTTGCATATTGAAAAAAGGAACATCCCAAGTATGTTTACTGCAGAGAAGCCGACTCCCCAGGCAGCGCGGCAGCTCTGAAGACCCACTGAGGTACACAGGAGGCTGCGACCGGACGAGAGCACTCGCTGCCCACCCCCGCCGAGCGCGCGCACGTTACTGTTGCTGGGCCGCCAGGTCAGCAGGTGGACGACTGGGGCAGAGGCAGCGGCCTCTCGTTCTTGCGTCCCCCGTTCATGTGCGCGTAAGGCTGCCTGTCGTCGAAGCTGGCCCGGAGGACCAGCATGCCCGGGCCCGGGCCGTTCTCGGCCCTGTGTCCCGAGTGTCTGTCGGGCAGCGGCAGGGACAGCGACGAGGCCGACGGGTCCAGCGGGATGCTCTCCATGTTCTCCGGCTCCAGGTCCAGCTCCTCCATGTCGGGCGGCTTGTTCTCGTCGCTGTAGTAGAAGGACACCTCCTGGAAGCCGGGCTCCATCTCGTCCTTGATGCTGCCGATGATCTCCAGGAACGACGGCCGCATCTTGGGGTTGTACTGCCAGCACATGCGCATCAGCTCGAACCTGAGGGGGAGAAGACACGCGGGATGGGCCTGCCGAAGCCCCTCCCGCCCCCTCTCCCAGGCCCGGCGTTCCAGCTCCACGGCCCGAGTCGCCTCCGGCCTCCCCTGCCTGACGTCCCACCATCCAGGACCCTCCCCGGTACGAAACCCAAACCCTCATTTCCTGAGCGGGACACACGTAGGCGCGCACAGAGTCCGTTATTACAGGTTATTACTTACAGTGACACAGCTAAGAAATTCAGAGAAATACAAAAAGCCAGCTTCCCATTCGAAGCTTCTCTCGCAGCCAGTGATTAAACGCTCCTTCCAGAATCAGCATGCAGGAAACCTCTGGCTTCTCACGAGGAAGCGTGAGAAGCGATCGCAGCTTTCCCGACTGATCTCCCTTTTAATCCCACCTGTGCTATTGCTAAGCTCCCTCCTGGTGGCAGGCGCCCTGCAGGACGAGCAGAGCGAGGCGGGGCGGCCGGCCAGCAGGAGCCCACGTCCCGCTTTAGCTGGGTACTCTAGTTCGGGGACTGAGGCTGCCAGCTGAGGGCCCCCCAATGGCAGAGCTCATGACCAGGCCATGCTGAGCTGAATCAGACCCCAACAGGCCAGGGAGGGACAGCCCAGTGTGTGGGCCACCGCACAGGCCGGGGACAGGCAGAGGGCACCGCAGGAAGCCCGTGCTGCGCCTGCGTCTCACCAGCTGGGCCACGATGGCGCCTGGGCTGCAAACCTCCGTGACACCCTCAGAATTACATGCGCCCGCGGGGAGTGTTCTGGACAATGGGGCCGAGCCCCCCAGAGAACAGGAGGCCACACGTGGAAGGAGGAAGAATAGAGCTGGGGTGCAGCCAGCCCCCCTGGCCCGGGAAGGGGTTTGAGAAGGGTTCAGAAAGGCTGCAGGAGAAGGAGGGGCTTCTCGTCCACCCAGAATGCAGACAGAGCCAGCCAAGGAAAGCTCCGGAGCAGAAAGGGGGGTGCCCCAGCAAAGGTCCGGGCTGGTCACAGAGCACGCAGGAGGCCATGGTTCCGAGGCGGGATCGGCCAGCAGCTTGAAGCCACTGCGTCCCTTCCGCTTCTGTTCTTACTGGAAAATTCTATTCTCTGTTTTGTTTTAAATCTTCTGGCTAAGGAGATGCTTTTCAGCCAAAACGGCCATATATAGGAAGCTCGACGTGCCCCACAGTGTCTTCCAGGCGTCTGTCGGGCCGACCGCCTGGCCGACGTCTGGCCCCAGGGAGCGCCCCTGTGCCGACCTGGCCGGCGACCTTGCGATGTAGGGAGAAAGGTGCCGGGTCGGGTGAGCTGGGGCGGATGGGATGGGACCCCGAGGAGGGTGGGGGTGGGAGACAGGCTTCTGCCCCTTTTCCTAAGTCAGCTGTATTGGAACAGGCACGCGCCTTTGACTGGCCGCTCTCAGGCTACAAGTGCAAGTTTTAGAGTTGGAAAAGGGACCATTTGGCCTTCGAGCCCCAAAATATTTACCATCTGGCCCTTTAGGGAAAAAGCTTGCCACCCCGGCTCCATCAGAAAAGAATGAGACAAAACGCAAAGGATGACTAACGCCCGCCCTCCCCACGGAACGCGGCACCCCGGCCACGACAGGGACCGCAGGGCTGACGGGGGCGACACCGGCACACGGCGGGCTCAGGCGGGAAGCTTCGAGGCTGTGCGCGGCCTCACCCCTCGTGACTCCGACAAGGAGGTGTGCTAGAAAACGTCCCCATCTTGTAGAGGAGGAAGCAGAAGTACGACAAGATGAAATCATTTGTCCAAGGTCCCCAGACTGGTGAGGGCGGAGCTGGGAAACTGTGGCTCCGCTTTGAACGCCACGTGCCTCAGAAGAAGGACTTTCCTCTCAGACTAAACGAGGCACCCTCGTGCCACCAGGGGACCCTCCCCAGGCTGTGCAGCGACCGTCGCAGGTGCTGTGGGGAGTTGGCGGTGATGAGCTGGTAACACCTCCCTTCCTTCCCATGTCCCCCCATCGCCTCCCAAAAGAAAGGACCCCCTAAAAAATAGAAAGGGGCTGTGACTACATGAAATCTCTCGATGGCTGGCCTGTGGTGTCCTCTCGGGCTGGCTGACTCGTCCCTGAATGAAGCGTCGCCCGGCCAAGAACACGTGACGTGCCCTGGCCCTGTGCCTGGCTCTGTGCCCCTGTAGCCCGGGGCTGGGGAAGGTGCCACCAGCAGGGGAGTGCTGTGAGTGACGTCAGCACCAGTGAAGCCACGTGACGCTGCGGTTAAACCATTCCAGAGTCACGGCCCTTCCCCGTGCTGTCCATAAAAGGAAGTCTTTTTACTCTGTGGGATTCGAGACCTTGTTTGCACCGTCTCCACAAGAAAACTTTCCAGTAGATTCTGGAAGGATTTATGAGCTGATAAAACTCCTCTTTTAAAAAGCACATTTTTTTTTTTTTACAACTCGTCGGCTCTGGTGAATTGGAATAGGCCTTCAACAGGCCATTGGGAGCAGCGTGTACCCTGCACCTGGGGTGGGGACAAGGCCAAACGGAGCTGCTGCCCCGTGTGAAACAGCTTCACAGGGACATATGTGACCCAGGAGGCTGGGTGACGGTCGGCAGTGTCACAAAAGAGAGAGAACTCTACTGCCCGCTCTACAGGCAGGTTGTGGCGACGAGCCAAGATGCGCCCGGCGACCCAGCATCCGAGCCCCAGCCCAGCCTCAGTCTGAGTGACAAACGACCATCACAGCAGAGGGACCGGAGTCCAGAGAGGACCTGAAGGGCTCAGTGAGCCCCTCCACCAGCTCCTCCTGGCAGCCCCCTGCAGCCAGACTGTCTCACGGACCACGTGTCAGCCAGCGGGGCCGGTGGGACAGCGTGGCCCGCACCGCCCACCCCATCCCTGGACAGAGATCAAACACAGCCCGCAGGCACACTGGGCAGGCGCAGCCATCCCTGTCTGCTTGCACCCCACCCAGGCACTCGGGGCCCACAAAACCAGCAGTACAGGGCCCCTGGCAACGTGGGCTCTTCATCAGCAACAGGGCAAGCCGAGCTCGAAGCCTGCAAACGACAGGGTCTCCTGAGCCTGCTGCAGAGTCAGCCGAAGACTCTGGGCTACAAAGGTCCGACTCGTTCCCTCATGCTGCATGCTGAAGCCATCCGTCCCTGGCTGGGGCTGACACGTGGAAGTTCCACCCGCAGGTGGTTACTGAGGAGATGGGGCTTCACCTGCTCACAGGTGTCGCACACAGCCCGAGCACCAGCGCCCACCATGCGCCTCACGCCCGCGGTGCCCTATTGATGCCCATTCAGACGCCAGACCGCACAGCCGAAGTGGTCTCCGCCCCACGGAGGCCCAGCCGGGCTTCCAGGCAATTCCCAGGGACACGGTGACTTTCCTGTCCTCAGGGAGAAGCCAGGGTCCATTCTCTGTCCTGGGAACAAAGGACCCCTTTTCCCAGTACACTTCCTCCTCACCTAGGCTCGACAGTAAACTCACGAGTATCACAAAAACGCTCCCTGCGACACCGACCCGCCTCATTCCATTTTGTTCTTTTTTTAGAGGGGAGAAAAGTTTGCTAAGGGGTCCTGGATGGCAAAGCAGGGCTGCCTCCTGGATTAAACGTTTAGGATCCGAGAGTGAGCACTGCATGTAAATTTCCTTGTCCCTCCACACCGGGAACCGGAAACCGGAAACACACTGCCTTCCCCACGGTAGGCGGGCTCCTTCCCAGGCAGATTAAATTAATATCAAAAGTCCAGTCACCTGGAGGGGGGTCAGCTTCAGGTACCTCACGAGTCTCTCAGAGACAAACTTTTCCCCAAGTCAAAGAAAAAGCTCAAAAACAACCTGTGTCTCCGGCCACCGCCCCAAACCACACAAACGAAACTCGCACCTGCTCTCCGGGACTGTTGGCAAGCTTGCTAAGACACCGCCTGCTCTGGTGTTCGTCCCCATTCTGCCCCCCCAAAACCCCCATACACGGTTATGCAAATTTATGCAAATTCAGCAGGCATCACTCCTCACACTTGCTCTGAAGGAAGAGTTTTCTTATCGATGGCTGACGGTGCAGTGACCACACAGTTCAAAGAGGAGAGCGGTCACCTGTGTAGCCACGCGACCTCAGGTGTCAGGAGGTGGCGGACACCGTGCGGTGTGACTCCTGAGGTTAGCCAGCAGAGGCCACTGCGGGTTCTGCTCTGCTGTGGGGTCATGTACTATGGCCCTCTGGGCCGGATCTGGCCTGCTGTCTGATTCTGTAAAACTGACGAGCTAAGGATGGTTTTTATGTTTGTAAAGGGTTGAACAAAAAAGAAGAATAATATTTTGTGACATGAAAATTCTGTGAAAAGCAAATTGCTGTGTCCAAAAATACAGTTTTATTGGCACACAGCCACGGTCACCCACGTGAGGTCCCAGGCTGCTTAAACGGAGCACGGTAGCCACATTCGCCATCGTACGGGCCCAAGAGCTGAAAATATTTACTATCTGTCCTTGCGGAGGAAAAGTTTGCTGGGCCTGCCCTGGGGGAAGCCAGCTGGTGGCATGAAGTCACTTGAGTGGTGTCACAGTAGAACTCGGCCTCTCGTGGCACCCAGCCTCCTTCCCAGTTCCCCATCAAGCCTTCAGGTGACCGGCGAGGGCCCGAGCCAGAGCCATCGGCTAAGCTGCTCCCAGTTCCCGACCCTCAGAGACTCTGTGATTGTAAGTGCTTTTTACCGTTCTAAACTAGCCAGTTTAAGGTCACGTTATACTGCGAAAAAAAAAAATCAAATACTAGTGGGAAGAAGGTGAGAAAATGCACGAAAAAAATGCCTTTTGGGTCTCTTCCACCTTTGGGTCATAAAGTCTAAAAAAGCTGTACTGAGAAGTTTCTTTTCTTAATTTTTTAAAAAATGTATTTAGTTTTAAAATAACCTATTTTTGAATTATAGTTGACATACAGTGTTATATTCGTTTGAGGTACACAATGACGATTAGACACGTGTGTACCTTATAAAGTGATCGCCCTGGTAAGTCTAGTAAACACTGAGAAGTCTGGGGAGATTATCCTGGGTAGATGTGACTTAATCAGGTAAAAAAAAATGGCAAAAGCAGCAGAGAGATTGTCCTGCTGGCCTTGGAGAAGTGAGCTGCTCTGCTGTGACAAGGCCCGTGTGTGTCGGGAGGAGGGGGGAGCAGGGATGGGCGAGGGCTGGGAGCGGCCTCGGCCTCCAGCAGCAAGGACAGAGGACCTCAGTCCGACAGCCACAGGCTGAGTCCTGCCAACAACCTGGAGCAGCCCGGGGGGAGGGAGGTCCCCAGTCTGAGACGGTCGCAGGCTTGGCCAACATCTTGATTTGGGCCTCATGAGACTGAGTCGAGGAGCCGGCACACCTGTCTGGATTCCTGACCCAGGACGCTGTGGGAGACCAAACGGGCTGTTGGGACTAAAATCTGTGGCACCCACGTATCGCAGAGTCTGACTCGCATCTGTACATCGTCCTGCCACTGAGGCTGGCACACGGTGGGTGGCAGGTGTGGGAGTCCCCACACGCCCACACAGACAAGGGTCTTTCCCATGTGAAGCCGAACCTGTCCTGAAAAAGCACTTCTAGAAAACTCCTGAGTTGGTCCTCAGGGACTAGTGGTAGTCGATCTATCTACTGGGATCAGTTCAGGAATTTTCTAGAAGTCACTCTTGGATCTTAAACGTTTAATCCTGGGATCTAGTAGATAGATCGACTACCACGAGTCCCTGAGCCCCGCCTACGTGCATGTTGAAAACCAGCCCAGCACGCCTCACCTGTACCTGGCGACCCAAGCACAGAACACCTTCACGCCTCCCTCTCCTGCCTTCAGCTGCTCCGCTGCCACCAACCCAGGGGCTTCTAAGAGAGGAGTCCCACGAGGGACCACAGACACTGCCCCGTCGCCCGACAAGGCCCAGAACTAAGAGGTGCGTGGTTTTCTTTGAACAGGCGACGTGTTCAAATCTGCCAGCACCCAGAGCTGTGTGCCCCCAGGGGTGTGCCTGCCGGGGGCCGAGTGGAATGAACCGTGCTCCAGGTCCACACAGGTCCCCGGATGAAACTCCAGAGAGCAAGTGACTCGCGTGGCTTACAACTCCGCAAACTCTGTTTCAGTCACATGCTGCACAGAGACGTTAGCCTGAGAAACCGCAGCACACACGGCTAATCAGGACCAAAGAAATAAGGAAGACGGGGCGGAGGGAAGGTGACCGCGCGAAGGGACAGGCTCCTTCTGTCAGGGGAGCCTTCTCCTCAACCACCCCGACCACGGCAGTGCCCGCCGGGCCAGAGAGCCTGGCCCTCGGAACCGCCGTCCCTCGCGGCCCAGGAGGTACGTACATTATGTCGGGGCAGTTGTCCGGCTTGTCCAGCAGGCCGCCCTCCATGACGAAGCGCAGCACCTGCTCGTTGGAGAAGCCCTGGTACGGCTGCTCGGCCAGCGTGGCGATCTCCCAGAGGACGACGCCGAAGGACCTGCGACGAGACGAGACACGTGAGGCCTCGGACGGGCCGTGTGGCACCTGCCGTCCCCGCCTCGCCAGCACGTCGTCTACCCCGGGCCTGAGCCACCGCCCTCGCGGTGGCGACTGAGCACACGCCGGACAGCACGCCAGGCCCCAGGGGGAGTGCGGGGCATTCGTCCGCATTTGCTGCCTCTAAGGTGTCCTGTAGCGTGAATGCAGCCCTGGTGGCAGAGCTGAGGATGCTGAAGGGGACGGAGTTTCCGGGACCCCTGAACAGGCAGGAGACATAGGACCTCGCACTTGAACCCCGGCCCCGCCGTCTGCCCGGTGTCTGGCAGGCCAGTGTCTCCCCAACGTGCTTTAGCCCAAGAATAATCAAATGCAGATTCCCAGGTCCCGCCGGCCGGTGATTTAGTGGCCTCACCGGGACCTGGGACAATTACAGTTCGACACACTCCCCAGTTTGGGCAGCCTCTACCCAGCAGCTCTCAACACTGGCCGCACAATCGTCACTGAGCACGTTTTTGAAACACTGATGCCTGGGCCCCGACCGCAGTTCTGAGGCCACTGGTCTGGGCCTGGGCCTCGGAGGGCTGAAAAGCTCATCGGCCCTCACAGGTCCAGCAGGACCAAGAGAAGACAGGCCTGCCTGCCCCACAGGGACTGGGGAGCTGCTGTCCCAGGTGGGAACCGAGCAGGGTGACATTGGCTGGGACAGGGGCTCCAGGCGAGGAAGAATCCTTGGCACAGAGCTGAGCTGAGGGAAGCGGGTGGTGAGGGGCAATGTCAGCGGGAGGAGCCGTGAGCCATTGCGCCCCGCATGCAGCTCGGCCGCCTGGCTTAGAAGACCCAGCCTCTGGAAAACCGGTTCAACGCGATAACACACGTACACAGAAATTTCAGACAGATAATGCTAAAACAAAGAGAGGCCGTCACATGCAAAACACAGGTGCCTTCCCAGCACACGTCACCAGCCTCTACAAATTCTCTGCGGTCCACCTGCCTTCCCATTCTACTCATTTCAGCAGAAGAGCGTGGGCCACTCAGCCGCAGGCCGCCCAAGGGGCTTCTGATGGACCCTCGCGGGCCGAGCTCCGCGCAAGACCCCGGGGCAGGACCCGTCCCTCCGAGAGCTCTTGGGACCCTGGCCCGGAGTCGGAGCAGGACGTTTCATCTGCTGCTTCGGCTCCTTTCCAAATACCACGCTGTGTGTGCCCATCGACACTAAGAGCAGAAGTCACACATAAATAGAACCTTAGCCACCGGAGGACTGGCCCGCCCAGGGCCCTTTTAACTTCCGGTGACCGAGCTTAAGCGAGTCTTCAGATCACACAGGAGACCTAGAAAAGCCAAGACCAGAGGCCGAAGCGCCGCATTCACGGGCCTGGGCCGAGGGCAGCGGGACGTCTGTGTGGTGGCATCGGCCTGGTCACACAGGTGGCGCGCCGTGGAGATCGCACCTCCCCCCTTCACGTCTGCAAAGAGGCGGGAGCACCAGAAGTGACGAGCTCGCTACCTTCCTGCCTGCGGGCCTGGCCCGAGGTCACCTGCGAGGGCCGTCCCTCCCGCGTCCGCTCCTGCTCCTGCTCCACGCGCCCTTCCCCGGCTGCGGCGGCTGCTTTCCCGCAGCCCGTTCTCAGCCGCGGGCTCCCACGCCGACTCTCCGAGCCCCGACGGCTCCGTTTCAAGCTTCCGCTCACTTGGCTGTCCGCAAACTTAACGGGTCTCCGACTCAGCCGCGCCTCACGACCCTCCTCATCTGCTGGCCTCACTGCACTGGACGCCCCGTGCGATCTGCACGGTCAACCCCAAGTCGCCCTTCCCTCGGCCTCCCGGAGCCCTCGCCGCTTGCCAGCGCAGGCTCACGTTTGTCCACAGGTCGGGTCAGAGCAGATGGTCCCCCTCTCTGGCCTACACCTCACCTTCTCCTTACTCAAGGGCGCCTTACACTCCAGCTGACGTGAACAGCTTAAAACACAGCTCTAGGTCATTCTCCTGCTCGGAAGCCTTAAAAGCCTTCACGGAACCTGCAGAATTAGTCCTACCCCCCAATGCACATCCGAGGCCTGACTCGGTCTCTCTACAGCCTGGCGCTCTCGAGGGAGCCCCACTGTCCTCGCCACGCGCCCGGCGCTGCCACCGTCATGGCTCCTGAGCGTCCCCACTGCCAGGAACGGCTTCCTCGCTGCTCCGTAGGGGACAGTCCTACTTCAGGGCGCCCCACGACGCCACCTCCTCCAGGAAGGCTGCCATGATTCCAATCTGTCAGGGTCACCTCCTCTTCTCCACAAGACTCCGTCCCTCAAGGACAGGCACTGTGTCACCCGTCGCTGGGTTCTTGCAGGCACTGAGTGCTGTGCCTGGGGCCCGCCAGGCCCTCACGATCACATGCACCGAATATGACACTCGAGTGACTCCAGGTCTGTGGGCGGGGCGCCAGGCCTGCTCCACGCCCCCGCCCATCACCTCTACAGCTGAACGTAGCGTGAGCGCTCCCATGTGACAGTGAGGGCACAGATAACCGTCCTGGACAGCCTGATTGCAAAACAGATCTCGCACTTGAGCTCAAAAAGCAATCGCTCTGCCGGGTCATATTCGGATGTGATTTCCAATTTGCACCTGTCTTCAAAATAACACAGAAAGCCCTTGAACTGTGAAAGGTTCACAAGGTTAAAAAAAAAAAAAATGATGCCGGTTACTATTTAAATAGCTCCTCTGTGCAGTCGTCTGGGACCCGAAGTAAACAAGCGCCGTTTCTATAACACGTCAGCGGGGGGATCTCCCGCGAAGACAGCCCAGAAACCAGCTGATGTTCTAGAAGGAATGTGCGCCAGGCTTAGCATGCCGAGAGCGTCGGCTGGATTTCAGAATCCGACTGCCTCTCCGCAACGTCGCTGCGGATTTGCAGTAAACGCTACTGTCACAAGACCTCTGCTCTCCGCAGCTGGTGCGACTTCCATCCCCAGTTCCGACTATTATTAAGGGAGACATTTTGCTTTTCAGACATCCCTGGGTTAACAACGATGGATGCCTTTTGAAAGGCGACAGACGGCCATGGCACCAACGGGAAAACACATCGAGATTCCTAAGCTTTGGGTCTCAATAAAGCAATGTCTCCTACGATCTGAAGGTTTAACTAGGTGAGGCAGACACACACACACACACAGTAGGTGAGACAGCCACACACACACACAGTGAAAGATAAAACCAGAGAAGGCGGGCACGGGGAGAAGCAGAGAGGTGACGTTTGCTGGCATGTCCCAGCTCCTGTGCTGTCTCAAGGCTCCCAGTCACCTAGCGAGCAGCTAAGGATTGAAAGACCCGTGGGTCCTGCAAATTCTTTAGCTCCCACAAATGGCCTCTGTCCTCAGCCAACCCACAGACAGCAGCAAAACTTCAGTGATGGAGGAGGGTGGCCCATGTGACACTTCAAAGCTGGACCCGGGGTAACAAGGAACAGAAAACAAGAGAAAAATAAAGCCCTCGAGACTGAGCCGGCGGGACTTGTGGCAGCTGGAGGGTCCAGGGCTCACATTCCAGGAAAAGCCTCTCATACCAGACGTCAGAATGAGTGGTGAAGACGCCGTCCTTCAGGGACTCAGGGGACATCCAGCGCACGGGCAGCAGGCCTTTCCCTCCCTTCCGGTAATAGTCTGTCTCGTAGATGTCTCTGGTCATACCGAAATCTGTGTGGCAGAGAGAAGGCACAAGAGTTAACGCTGTTTGAATGGCTCCTGGGAAAAAGCAGAGACGCACCATCACTGCAGCCCAGGAAGGCCCTGGACCCACGTCCAAGGGCAAACCAGACTCAAAGGGGCCGGGCAGAGGCGTCTGTAATTTCGTAAGGCCGGAAGAGTAAGGGATGAGGGATGGATCACATGACGAGCAAATAAAGACGAAGAGATCTCTGCTTTGCAAGACACGTATCATTTGATATTTTAAAAAAGTGAATTCTCTTATTGTGTTTAAAATAAGAGGCAGTTTGAAAATTAACAAGTTCCAGTCTTCAGCCACACGGCCCTGAACAAGCCCGATCCCATCTGATCTCGGAAGCTAAGCAGGGTCGGGCCTGGTTAGTACTTGGATGGGAGACCATCTAGGAAGACCAGGTGCTGTAGGCGTAAAAAATAAAAAATGAAATGAAAAATAAAAATTAACAAGGTCCAGAGTCTATCGAGAAAAGATGCACTGTATAGACCAAAAGTCTTTCATTCGTGGTTTTAACCCTGATAAAATAAACAGGCATGTGATGACGCCTATCGACTCGATGGCATCGCCCATTGCCCCCAGAAAGGCAGCGGTTTCACTGTCTAAGAAGAAGGAAAATACTGAGTACCAATTCACGATTTAAAAAAAAAAACAGTGCACAGCCAGATGCCCAAGAGATGCTCTTTACTAGGCCCCGGAAGCTATTACTCAATAATGTTTTTCAACAGACTACTCCCACTCATTTTTGAAAAAGTCTTCCATTTTCCGTGTCTCTAGAAGATGTCACCTAATTATGTTTGATGGCAGGCTTGCTGTATAATCCTAAATCATTGCTTCTTTGTCAGAATTTGATTTCTCACTCCATCAGGCAAACTTTTCCCGCAAGGACTCTACTCCCAGGAGAAAGGTCTGCTCTCCTTTTTGAAATATCCATTCACGTCTCTCACTCTGCCACAGAGAGGTTAGGCTACAGAGCCAAACAGAGCACTGAGTCCCTTGGACCTTAACCAACATCGTTTACTTGCACTATGCTAAGGGCCACTGAATTGCTTCTGGCACAATTACTTGTCAGATTTGTAATCCCAGACACTGGGCCTTGGGAAAACAGTTTTGAGCCCTAGTAAAGAATAAAAATGAAGCGTTAGAGCTTTATCTCAGAATTAATCCAGCGGTGAGCACATTAGAGGATCTGCCTGGCACAGAAGTGGAAAAAATAATAATAATAATAATAATAAAGAAGGCGGCCCAGAACAAGAACACAAATTATTTCTTCAAACACAAAAGAAAAATTTCACATTTTAGGAAGAAAAAACACAAGCGCAAAGAAAATCTCACTGTAAATATGCCACACGGCTAAACAGCAACTACGGTCCTTGGAGAGTTGAACTTCAGAGGGCAAGTGACAGCAGCTCTAACTGAGCTGCCACCCTGTGCCACGAAGCGGGCGGGCAGGAGGGAGGGATGCTGGTGAGCAGAGCGGCCCGTCTGCCTGCGCTGACCCTGCCCGCCACCTCACGGGGCTGTTTTGGCGTCACCCCGCTGCAGAGAGTGAAGAAACCGAGGCTCACAGAACTTGAGGCACTTGTCCCAAGTCTCAGTCGTTAGTGGCAGCACCGTGGTTGAAGCTCGCCTGCCCGGCTCCTTGGGGAAGCGGGGCTGGTTGGCATCTCCGTAGGAGCAATCTGAGCCCCACGGAGAAGTGGGGGGAAGGCACGGGAAGTGCATGGGTGGGTGCGCAAAGGAAGCCCGGGCAGGGGTCGGGGGGGTGCTTCCCTGGGGACTTCGGAGCAGGACAGCCTCTCAGGGTTCAAGGAACACCAAACATGGGGACGCCTCCAAGTGCCAAAACCCAGGGACACGCTGGTGGCTCCTGAACGACTAACTGATGACCCGGGCATGTTTGCTCTCCGACGTGGCCCTGCGTAGCACCCCTAGCTCCCACATGTGACCAGACGCTAACCCCTTATTTGGAGACCATTCTAGAAGGAACTGAAGGGCCAAAACATTTCATTCGAAATCATTGCCTCAGAAAAAATATATACATATTTGACTGGCATTTCCAGAACAGGCAGTTTAAGAGCTAGACAAAGAGGCTCATTTTACATCGTTTTGGGGTGTTACGTCTCCCTTGTAGTTTCTCCAGATAAATACTCAGTATTTTTCTGAACCGTCAGCATCTCACTGTGAGAAGATAAGGTTTCTGGTGAGAGCAGATGGCTTCCTCAGCGGCCCGAGGTGGTGTGAGTTTTTATCAGGCAGAGGAAAAGACCAAACCTAACGGCTGAAATGAATTCCTCGCCGGCGACCTAGAACGCAGTGCGTGGTGGCGACAGGGGGTGTCCCCAGCAGGCCGGGCAGCTAAGTAAGTGCCACGACAGAGGGGTCAGGCGCCCAGAGGTGGGCCGGCCCGGGCGTGAACCCCGGTTAGCAGCGGTCTTGCCCCACCTGAGGGACTGCCACCTCCCAGCCACCGCTCCTGCTCTGTGCAGGGGCTTCACCGTTAGGGGACGTCACCTCTTATAAAACTCCATGGAGCCCTGGAGGGGGACAGCGCTCCTTGTATGCTAGGAAAATTGGAGGAAATACTGGGAGTTTGAATGGTGACTTTTATTCCCAAGTCGAAATCATCGGAGGACACCGTCTCGATTGTTTCTGTAACCAAGACTTAGCACTGTTCTGCCAGGAGACAAGGTACCCTGGCCTCGGCACATTCTGGCCCACTCCCTGACCCGCCGTAGCCACGGGCCATCAGGATTAGGGCCAGCCCAGCCAGGTCTGCGACGGTCCACCAACTGAGCAGTGACAGTCCCCCAAGGGCAGGACTTCACACTCACAGGCAGCCCAGAGCCCACTCAGTCCCTAAAACGTGTGAGTCACATTTTTGCTCACTCCCGAGAAGCTGGGGACACACCTCCGATTTTGACGGTGAAATCCTCGGCCACCATGCAGTTGCGGGCGGCCAGATCTCTGTGCACGAACTTGTTGGCGTTCAGGTACGCCATGCCGTCCGCGATCTCTCCCGCCATCTGGATCATCTTGCTCAGGCTTGGAGGCACGAGGACCAGATTATTCTGTTGGAGGTTAAAAAATAAAAAAATCGCTTGAGAAATCGCGCGTTTTTTCGAGGTCTGCACATCCATCTTTGCTCCGCAAATCTGAGCCCCAGAGGTCATGCTGCTAAGGAACCAGGCCTTGCTCAGAAGGAAAGGGTTATTATGGAGACCGTGGCATCTGGTGCATGGTCAAGTCATGCACCTGCCAGCTGACCACATCACACGGAGCTGCAGATAGAAGCACCAAGTAATGCAACTAAGGACCGGCCTTTTCCATTTGGGGTCGGGCGAAAATTACTTAAAGCGCAACACGTAGTTTTTAATATTCGGGATTCTTGCTTACTCAAATTCCTATCTGTTTATCTGTTCCTTTTATTTCTATAATAAAAGTACCAGTCACAGAGGGAGAGACCTCCACAAAGACTGTGTGGAAATAAGCAAATGCGTCTCTCAAATCGACGCTGCGTGTTTTCTTTCCCACGTAAGCATCGTTATAAATTTAATCTTTTCCTTTTCCTTCAGTTTTCTTCTGAAATACAAAAACATCAAGATTGATTTTTTTTCGCCATACGACGTGGCATTCCTTGGATTGTTATTTTGTGTGGGCAAAGAGGAAAACGAGCATTTGACGACTTCACTCCGACTGAAGTTTTTTCTGGAGCGGGACCAAGGCAAAACAGTGACAAGTGACATGGGCAGACATTCCCTCTTTGCAGAGGAGCCCAAGGTACCGGCTTTGGAACTGAAGAGAAATACCCCTAAATCAGAATGAATCCATTTAGAAAAATGTTTTACATAAAACGTAGGCCCAGGTCTCTCCATCCTAAAAAAAAGTGCAGAAAGCGATCAGCACCCCACAGTTCAGATGCTAACCACCCCTTGCTCATACGAGCACAAGAGATGTTACCTCAGTTTTCCTGGCCACAGGACGTCTCTTAGAACACTGAAAAGCCCTTACTCTGACAGGTCCCATGGGTCGGTCACCTCTCCAGCTCCAACCCTGCGGGCCTCAGACAGGGCGTGTCTGGGCTTTGGGATCAGACCAGACCGTCTGGGCTCTTCCACGCAGTGACCAAGACGGGTTCACTGCTGGGAGGATGAGCTGGGACCAGTCACGGACAGTGCCCGCTGGCTTCATCTGAGGTGCTAGCTTCTGCTGAAAGATGGCCTCGAGAAGCAGTCTAATTCTGCAGCCCACACTCCATGCACATTTGAATTCTGAAGAGACTATCAAGACTGCATCTGGTAATTTAAAAAAACCGGTCGCTGAGCTGTCTGGGGAAGTGACATGACATCCCCAAGCATAAGCCAAAACCATTGCTTTCCTTTACACAGGAGCCTCGGGATGTGACAGTCCCTTTTGACCTTCTCGGGGTTTTAGATATGCTCGGTCCACTAGGACATCTGCAGGTGACACGTGAAGTTTTTGCTCATTCTATTCAAGTCGGGAAGTACTACGTATAGGTATTCACTAGAAGTGGTCACTCATAATCAATGTGAAACACTGGATCGATAAGAGAAAGCCGATTTTAAGTATTGAAAGAGAGGGCTGGCATTTGCTCTGTAATTTGCTCAGAGCTGCTTATGACATGTATCCGCGAGTACCCACACTTAGCCAGGTAAATGAGCAAATCCTAACCTGGGAGGGGAAGATGCCAGGTAGAACATAACGAAACTGTCGGGCGAGCATATGTATTTTTACACCTGACATGAGTTAGGGCAAGTTGGGATCTCACAAATCTGCAAGTGAATTTTCAGTCTTTAAAGGAATTCAGCCATCGTCTTGTCCGACCCTCTTGTTTTACACATGAGGAAACTGAGGGCTGCAGGGAGTGACAGACTGCACGTCCCAAATTTTTATCCTGTGCCTGAAAGTGACAATGAAGGGAGTGAGTGTTGCATGCTGTTCAGAGGTGCCTGGAATGACTCGGTAAGAAATACACTGCCATGTCTCCAGCCACCTGTCTGACTAAGCTTTTCTCCTTGCTGGCTTGCCACAAATGTCATCTGCTGTGACCAGAGGAGGCCACACACGAACAGGTACACAGAACCGAAGTTAAGAAACTGGGAAGATGATTACGTTTCAAACTAAAAGAAGAAAACGGAAGATCGAGCTCAGAGAAAAGCTACGGAAATCCAAATGCGGCTGAGAAGGGTTCTTGGGAACACGGGCAGCCACGGGGGACTTCCTCGACACAGAGCCAAGTCAGGGTCAGGGACGCCACCAGACCCACCGAGGCAGCCAAACAAAAGGCAGATGTGCTCGTGTTACTTCTAAGCATTTCTCTACCGGTTTATTCTTAGAAGCACTCGCGTAAGAAGTTAAGTCGCGCCTCTGATGTGTTAAAACGTCGGCTTGTGGGTTCATGCTACAGAAGCGGGGACACCTGGGTGACGGAAGGAAAACCACACAGGACTTTAGCGGATGTAGAATCTGAAGCTCAAAACGCAGAGGGATATTTTTTACTAGACTAAGCAGAGATCGTGTGGCTGAGGCGATGATCAGGCAGAGGCAGAAGCCGGACATTGACTGAGGATGGAGCGTGGAGCTCGCAGGCCGAGACTGAGGTGTTGGGCTTTGCATCTCGAAGGCGCAGACTGCGGCTCATGGCACGGGGACAGAGGCATGTGCGCGGGGACGGGGCTCGTGATGGCGCGGATGCCTTGTGCGCAGGGCTGGGTGGCACCACCCCCCGCCCCCCAGCACAAGGACCAGGTCACCCTAACACTGGGCTTTGACGAGCAGTCGGTGAAAGGCTGCCTCTGCCACAACCACAGCCCTGAGCCCCGGGCCGTGTCTGGGGTGCAAAGCTGAGCAGAACGGGTGAGCGGGGACGCACTCAGAGACCCCAACGAGGGAAAGGCCGGGTGAGCGAGGAGGGGAGCAGTCAGCAGAGGACATGGTCCCCCTGGCCGGGGGCGCCGGGATGGCCGGGACAGGCTGCTGGAGGCTGCGGCGCTGAGGTGGCTCTGTCGGTGGCAGTTCGGGAGAGAGGGCAGAGGCGGAGGTGACGGCAGTGGAGGGAGGGAGGACACGCAGGTGCGTGAGGAAAGGGGTGACCTGAGGCTCGCACGTGCCCCTCGCCGAAGTGCAAGGCCTCTGTCCGGCCCGTGAAGGAGCCGCGGGCAAGCACGCAGCAAGAGACGCGCGTCATCCGGCGGAAGGTTCTCAGGGGACCAGGACACATAACGCACCTCGATCTCCGGCCTCATGGACCTGAGGTAACTCTTGAGATCGCCTCGTGTCATCAGTTCCATGATGACCAGCGTTGGCTGGCCCTGGGACACCACGCCCAGCAGCCGCACCTGGGAGGAATGGCAGACAGGAGGACTCAGAACCTGAGAGCTGCCCGCGACGGCCGCCGCGCCCTCCCCGCAGCCCAACAGTGTGTGCGGGGCCGGGACCTGCGGGCCAGCGACACGGCCCAGGTGGCTGGGCCACTAGACCCACCGAGGCAGCCGGGGTCTGCAGCGCACCTGAACCCTCTGCGCACAGGTGCTGCAGGCGACAGTGAGGTTGATGGGGGCTGCACAGGAGACGGTGGGTGGGGGAGGGTTACCCTCCCACGAGTGTGGCCCCCCCACTGGGGGCCCCTGGGAAGCGCCCCCCCACC